CTAGGTTCCCTCTTGAAAGCTTGTAAGCCAGTCACTTCTTGCCTTTGTAGTCCCCTACTTCCCATTTGAGTATCCAATGTCCAAGTTGCCCATCTCTGTCTACTCTGTGTGTGGAGGAAGTGGGAATGTTTCTTGCTGTAAGGATTTGTTCCTTCTTTTGAGTTGCTGCACCATAGGTATAGGTCAAGTTCATCAGATTGTATCAGCTCACTCTCACTCTCTCTCTTTTTTTCACCCCCTCCCCCTTCTTTCTTCTCCTGGTTGAGCTCCGATCATCCAGTCATTGGTCCAGGTCATGTGGGTATCATCTGCAATTGTGGGTGCTCCTGTGCACATGCCCTCTCTTCCCATCAGCCGGTAGCACCACTCTCCTCTCGAGTCCTCTGTGGCCATGCCACTGACTCTGGGCCCAAGAGTCCCTAGGTCTCCTCACACTGCTTGTCATCCAGGTCCCCAACTGGGTCCACAGAAGTCCACTGAACATTGTAGGGCTTAGCTTGCCGCTTCATTGCTGCTTTTACCCCACTTCCCCCCATCGGTGATGCGTGTGGTTACCAATCAGAGTGTGCATTTCCGTTGAGTCTTAGTCTTGGAAGGGGGTTTGTGTTGAGAGGACCTGACCACTTGCCTTGATGTTTCCTAGGGAAGTGATTTGTTTGTTCTTATAGTAACAGTCCATCTGCCTCAATTTTTTCCTGCAGGTCTTTCTTTCAAGAAGTATCTTTTATTCTTCTAGCCGCTCCAGGCTGGTCTGCTCGTCCTTTCAAGTGGAGATTTCTCATCTCTGGAGATCTAGATGTAGTTCCGGTTTCTACCTATAGTTTTATGTATTACAGAGCCTCTGCAGGAAGCCTCGTTCACCGGGTATGCTGTGGCCCCATTTTAGGTATTCCAATCAGTCATAGGCAGAAGACGGACTTACAAGCCTTCTAGTGTGATATTTCTGACTATTCCTTTCTCTCTCTCTCCAGTGTCTACTCTATATTATAATGCAAGGAAAACCAAGATTAAAAAAAAAGAAACAAATAAATAAAAAACAGTCAAGCATCTTAACATGATTTCCACCCCCCCCCCCATTCCAGCCATGACTCAATCCCTGTATCTCAGAGCCCTGCAGTTCCAAGGCTGTGCATATATCGTCCTTTATCTCTGTCCCATTTAGCCCTTTCAAACATGCCCAATTGTTCTCCCATCTGCCCCGTTTCTCCACTTCCCTCTCCCTCCCTGTATATTGCCCCCCTCTCTAGCACCCAAGCTTTCCTGTGTCCAATCCCTGCCCTGCGCTCCTCCCTCCTCCCTTCCCCCCACCCATCACCAACTTCCCAGCAACCAACAAAATCTTCCCCCTACCCCCCTTTAGCATAATTTCTTTTTCTTAGTCTTTTATAGTAGTGGTCCTATGCAGTATTTCTCTTTTTGTGACTGACTAATTTCACTCAGTTTAATGTCCTCAAGGTTCATCCATGTTATGCGGTGGCTTACGGCTTCCTTGTTATTCTTCAATGTAGCATAATATTCCATTGTGTGTATGTACAACAATTTGTTTATCCATTCTTCAGTTGATGGGCACTTTGGCTGTCTCCATCTTTTTGCTATTGTAAGTAGTGTTGCCACGAACATTGGTGTGCATATAATTTCTCATGTTGTGGCTCATTTTTCTTGTGGGTAAATACCGAGTAGAGGGATTGCTGGATCATAAAGTATTTCTATTTTCAACCTTCTGAGGAAATGCCATATTGCTTTCCAGAGAGGTTGGACCATTTTGCAGTCCCACCAGCAATGCAAGAGCCAAAGACACTAATTTTAGAGAACACATTAAAAAACAATTTTAAGAATGTTTTAGAAACATTTCTAATAATAATTCAAAGTAAGAGATTGTGACACTAATAAAAGTAATTTGACAATAACTAATGCTGTAGAATATTCTATTTCTAGAATTCTCGTGTGATGCTTGCTGTAGAATAAGCACTGGACTGCAAGGTTGTCAGTTCGAACCTACCAGTCACTCCTCAGAAACCTTATACAAAGTTGCTGTGTGTTGGAACTAATTCGATAGCAACTAACAACAACAATAACATTCTATTTCTTAGTGAAGTTCACTCTATTATATCCAAACATTTATGAAGACAATTTTGTTGAAGGTGCACAATGAATGTCTATATTAAATGGAAGAAAAGATTCAAGATATGGACATAAATACTAGGTAACATTGCTAATTTTCTGTTATCATTCAATTGTTTTTACTAGTTTATCAGAAACTACATGTCAGTTTTAAAGTTATTTTTATCCATGAAAAAGCCAATTGATAATTACTGTCAGTTCTGAGAAGCCCTGAGATGACAAAGAAAAATCTGATGGTTTCCGCTATGTTTTAAATGTAGATATAGTAGAAATCTTTGTGTATAGCCACAGGCCTCTATCCCAACAAAAAAGACACCAGAAAGGAAAATAAAGACAAGATGCTGATATTTTAAAGTGAAGTACAGCAAACTCCTTTCAAAAATAAACTTAATTTTCCTTGGTCTTAAGGAGTCTATAAGTTTCATGAAAGTATATGGTGTCAAAATTAATTTAGGCACAACCAACTCCTTATTTATGCTATTTATGACATATGCATGGAATTGTACTTAGGAACTGGAACTAAATGGTGAATTAAAAATTTGAAAGCATACCATTTAAAGTCTATAATTACTCTGACATTTTTATGACATAGTTTTAGACTCTAAAAATTGGCATCTAACTGATACAACATGTTTCAAAATATATCTTCCTGAAGAAGTCCTGATGTAAGTACTGCCTACTCATATTTTCAGGAATTATTAATTTATATTTACATCATCTCAGAAGTAATCTCATGGAGAATAATTTATATATATAATTCTATTTCACTAACAGGGAAGCTAGCAATATATAACGAATCCCCTAAAAGCAAATGGCTTCTTAAGTAGTTCTCCTAACTTCTGCAAAACTTTGCTCCCTGATTATTTATATATATGCCAATTTTTAGAATGAGATGTACACATTTTGGATATTGCCAAAGCCCTCTGAGATGAAGAAAATCTATGTAAATATATAATAAAATTCTACCTAATATAAAACATATATTTCACTTAAGTGTTTTACAATTTGCTTTAGAATCAGTTTAAAATAATAGAAATTACCTTTTGGGTTTTCCTGCTTCTTGTTCTGACTTTGCCCCTCTAAGGTCCAACAGCCTATTTCTTGACAAAACTGGAACTATCCATTCCTGTCTGTCAGAAGTTCCATCAAAGAGATTCATCAGCCACTGGCATTATTTTTAAAAGAACACAGAATTCAAGGGAAAATTGAACACTTTAAGATTCTGTTCTTCAGAGTGGTTTAGTCAGGAATCTAATGGCCCAAGGGCTGTTTTTATATAGTCATTTTTAATTCAAGTTTTCCAAGTGTACAAATCCTCTCAGCATTTTGAAGTTACTAACCTTTCAATGGGTGTAGCTTTCAGATGGTTTAATGCAACAGACAACAAGATGAGAGCTACTGACAACTTCAGGATGCACATTGCTTCTCAAATTTTCTGGAAAGAATAACACAACACTGAAATCAAGAATTACTAACAGCTCTAACTTACTGGAATTCTAAACTAGAACCTAATTAAAATAACAATAGCAAAGTGGTCTTGTTCTTTAAAAAAACGTAGTCTACAAGGATGATAATGTTTATTGCTACAGACACTTAATACTGATTAAGTAACTTTCAAAAATTAAAAAAAATTACTTTCTAATTTCTTCTTATAAACCATCTGGGAAATTAATATTCTAGTAAATTATCACCTTACCCTGTCTCTGCAATAAACCACACACTTAATATCAAATCTGCCATTTTCTGAATAAATAATGCTTTCCCCAGAATAGGAAATTATTTACCTTTTAATGTTTCAGTGTCAGCAATATCAGAAAATACCTTTGACAGCAAGGAAGTTTCATGAAAAAAATCCCAAACTTGCGTTTACTGGAGTATTTAGCCCCCCAATAGCTAACTAGTAACCCAGTTCTTATATACCCTTCACACCTTTCTCAGCTCTGACATCAGGCAGCCCAAAAAGATTCTGTCATTAATTTCCATCCATATAGCTAGATAAAGTGTCTCATAGACAACATAAGCAGATGGGTCATCATTGCTTTAACACATCAGTGAATATTAATGTAGCAGATACAGAATGTCTCTATGCAGTTAATCTGTGTCATAAGCAGCAGAAATTTGAACTTGCCATTTTCATCGAATGCCAGTGTGAATTTTCAAGGATTAAATAAAGTATAGTCTAGTAAGAAATTCACAAAAAGAGGTGATTAAGAATAACAACAATGTGTTCATAAAGGAAAGGCAAAACAAGAGACATTGAGGAGATATAACTAAATCTATGAGACCCAAATGGCTTAATTTCATGGACATTTTGAAGAACTGAGATATATACACAAGGTATATAAACAAAGGACATGAAAGAACACAAAACCCATTTACAGTGCTGGGTATCTGAGGATTGTAAAGGCATAAAAAATAACTTTCAGACCACAAATTCATTTGTCTGTTTGAATATAGTTATATAACTATATACAATCAAGCCTATTTTTCCATTACTTATTGCATAGAACTATCACAATTATTTTGAAGGAACAGAATTTTACCTTTAGCTTCATGAGAAAATTATCAATAGCTTGACTCAACAAAGTACTATCTAGTTTGCCTTTTGAACATTCTCCAAAATGTTTTCTTTCCTTTTTCTGGTATTTTTGTTATAGTATATTCTAAGTTATAAAAACGTAATACCATATTTAGCAACTAAAATTCATTCTGTTAATAAATATATACTTGTCTGTGTAATTGAAAACAATGAAACTTTTTCAAGTAAAAAGGTAAAAAAACAAAAAATCATCTACTTTAAAAAGTAGATGGCTTTTAGAACCAAGGCAAGGTTTTGGCAGTAGAATCCAATTGTACTGTAGTAAGCTACAGGTCTCTTTATTCCCATATTCTTGAGCCAACAGCCACAGAGCTTGGTCCTCTTGTCTATGAATGTACAAGTAAAAAGATGTAATTTATCCTTGGATAATTTGTGGCCTTTCTCAGCTGATTATTGTAAAAGGCATAATGAATAGTTTAACTATTGCAGAAAATAGCAAAGCATAAAATTTATCTACACATTTAGATAATCAAGGACATGCTCAGGAACTTCTGATGAGACACAGTATCTTTGCTTTCTAAACAGATACATAAAATATAAAGTTTACTTTTATAATCTTTTATTAAAAGCAACTCAGTGGTTAAAAAAATTTTGTCTTTTACCAGTGAGAAAACCAAATTTTAGTTCTGTATACTATTTGATAGTTAAAATCTTATAAATAAATTGACCAAATCTTAGCTCTAACTTATATATATATATAAAATACAAAAGAATAGAGCTTTTTAAAGTGGCAAAAACTAACACATTCATTAGCAGACCAAGATATAAGAGGGGTCTTCAAAAAGTATGTGGGAAAATTATATTATCTTTTAATTTCTTTTTCATGAACTTTTTGAAGCCCTTACATATATGGAGCCCTGATGGTACTATAGATTAGGCATTGGGCTAGTGAATGCAATGTTGGCAGATTCAAACCATACGCAGCTAGTCTTCGGGGAGAGATGAGATGAGTCTGTCTACTCCTGCAAAACCTATGAGTTGCTGTGAGTCAGATTTGACTCAATGAGGGTTTGGTTTATTTTGGCTTGGGGATCTGTAATATATATTAATCCACTGCCATATTAATCACTTCTGACTCATAGTGACCATTTGTAGGGTTTCTTAGGCAGTACATTTTAGCACAAGCTGATGCCAATCCATCTCATTGGGGTTTTCCTCTTCTTCATTGTCTCTCCACTTTACCATGCCCTTCTCTAGGCTTTATAGTATGTGCAAAGTATGAGAGACAGTCTGGCCATCCTGGCTTCTAAGAAGCGTACTGACTACATTGCCTCAACACAGATTTGATTGTTCTTCTAGCAGTCCATGATACTTTTAATATTCTTGTTCAACACCTTAACCATTTGAGTTATCAACTCTTCTATGGTTTTTCTTATTCATTGTCCAACTTCCACATGTATATGAGGCTATTGAAAGTACTATGGTTTGGATCAGGCACACTTTAGTCCTCAGACTGACATCTTTGCTCTTCAACACTTTAAAGAGGTCTTGTGCAGCAGATTTGCCTAGTACAATATGACCTTAGATGTCTTGACTGCTGCTTCCATGAATGTTGATGACTGATCTGAGCAAAATGAAATCTTGGGAAATTTCTGTATTTTCTCCATTTATTTTGATGTTGTTTATTTATCCATTTGTGAGGATTTTTGTTTTTTTTTTACACTGAGGTGCAAGGCTGTGGTCTTTTATCTTAATCAGTTAGTATTTTAAATCCTCTGCTTTCAGCAGGCAAAGTTGTAACATCTGCATTTGCAGGTTGTTAATGAGTCTTATCCCATCCTGGTGCCATGTTCTTCTTTATATAGTCCAGTTTCTTGACTATTTGCTCAGAACACAGATTGAATAAGTTATGTTTGAGCCCATTGTTGCTGTCACTGTGCCAGTCCATCACATAGAAGGTCTTCCTATTTTTCACTGACTCTCCATTTACCAAGCATGATGTTCTTCTCCAGGTATTGGTCCTTTGTTGGGCAACATATGCAAAGTACAAGAGATGAAGTCTCATGATCCTCACTTTCAAGAAGCATTTTGGTTGAATTCTGTCAGTCTGTGTTATTTTCAATATTCTTCATTCACCATAAAGAAGGATAGAATTGTGCAGTGTTTCGTTCTGTTGTGTATAAGGTATGTAGGAGTCAGACCAAATTCAATAGCATCAAGCAACAATAATGACACGCACCAGTTAAACATGACGAGTAAAACAACAGGAAATACAAAATAGACTGTAAAACTCCAATAATAGGAATTCTATTTGTTTTCTTCTAGTCTTCGCTATAACAAGATGAAAAGCATAAAATTAACATTTTCAATACACAATCAAATTTTATAGATTAATACTGGATGTCTGTTCATATATTTACATTGAGTAGGGATTTCATTTCAATCATATGTAGGTAGGTATTACTTAACACCTTTACAATGAGGTGCAATTCATTCTCAGTGTAAAGGTGTTAAGTCCAACATACCTATATGTGATTTTACAATAGTACATATACATAGATTTCTAAAATTTAATAAGATGACATTTAGTGTTATAGACAAGAGGATTTTCTCTGTTTTTGTAAAGCAAACCTTATTTCATTTTACAGGTGCATACTGTTTTGTTTTAAAAATGGAGACTTGGTGTGGCACAAGGTCAATTTGGACCACAAGGTCAGAAGTTCAAACTTACCAGCTGCTCTTTGGAAACCCTATACTTGGTTGCTATGATTCGGAACTGACTTGATAAAACTTAACAACAACCTCTATGCAGGGCAGGATCGGGCAGTGTTTTGTTCTGTTGTGCATAGGGTACATAGGAGTCAGAACCGTTCAGTATCACCAAACAACAATAATGGCATGCAACAGTTAAAAGTAAATAAAAGTTTAACTCTTTTCATCATATGACTTCTCATGTTTCTTCTATAGCCCCTCCCCTTTTCTTCCTCACCACATTGATGTTGTTGGTGGTAGTGCTGTTGAGTCAGTTCCAATTCATAACAACCCTGTAAAGGGTTTTCAAGGAGCAGTTGGTGGGTTTGAACTACCAACCTTCTGGTTAGCAGTCCAATGCTTACCCTACAGTAGTACCACACCAGGACGCCCCTTCACCACATAGGATTACTTAAAACAAATCTAAGAGGTCATATAATTTTACCTGTAAATTCCTCAGTATTGTATCTATAGAATATCTGTTTAATATGAAACTAAAATACCATTATTACAGCAATACATAAAATGTCTAGTAATTCATTAATATCATTAAATGATTGCCTCAGTGTTCACAGATTCCCAATTGCCTCAAAAATATTTTAGTTGGGCTGTTGGAATCAAGATCTAAACAAGATTACATTTGTTGCTCTGTCTCATATGTCTCTTTTAATCTCCTACTTTTCCCTCCTTTCTCTTTTTTACCAATGATTTATTAAAGGAACTAGGTCACTTATTGTGTAGAATTTTCTACATCCTGGATTTTGTGATTGCATCTACATAGTATCACTTAACATGTTCCTTTTGTAACTTGTTTATCCCATATCCTGGTAGTTAGATCTAGAGGTTTGATCTGATTCAGGTTTCATTATTTTAACAAGAAAGTCTCATGCGTGGTGCTATTTATTTCTTACTGCATCACACCAATGGGCTGCATCTCCTTGAAGTTGTTAAAATTGACCAGGGAGTTTAGGTGTTAACTTTAAGTCTTCCCTTTATTAGGTTTAGCATCTGTTGTTGATCATTGCTGGAATCATTGTTTTATTAAGGGTTGCGAAATAGTGATAGTATAATTCTATGATTTCTTCTACACCTAACAGCTGAAAAATTTCAGTAAATTTGAGAATTTCACA